CTACAACGCTTAACCCTACAACGCTTAACCCTACAACGCTTAACCCTACAACGCTTAACCCTACAACGCTTAACCCTACAACGCTTAACCCTACAACGCTTAACCCTACAACGCTTAACCTTACAACGCTTAACCCTACAACGCTTAACCCTACAACGCTTAACCCAACAACGCTTAACCCTACAACGCTTAACCCTACAACGCTTAACCCTACAACGCTTAACCCTAGAACGCTTAACTCTACAACACTGAACCAAAGGGCAACTGCACTGCTGATGCAACTAACATGAATGTAATAATGAATAACACGAATGAAATCATTTGTTTTTGCTTGACTCCTCGATATATTTCATACACCCTTAAATATAAATTGGTCCAAGGAACTACTGCTGAACTCAGTAATCAAATTGGTTAAATTAATTTAAACCGATGTAAGTGCAGACAGAACGGAGCTAATTTACAAAAAATTAGAATCAACAGCCACTGCAGAACATCAAAATGACTATTAATTTTCGACTTAATTGAGCAAATGCTCACTAGACGATCATCATTTTAGAACTACCTGCGTAAAAATCTTCCTTTACGTTTGGCTTCTAATTATTTAAGCTTCAGATTCATCCAATCCTGAGCCTGGTCTGAGCCTCGTGCCTGACAGTCCTCCGGCCATGCCTAAAGAGACATAGAAGTTTCTTTTTTTAATTTTATGTCTAATTTGAAAATTGAAAAATGAGAGGACTGTAAATGCACGAGCATTTTCTAGCTCCGCTAAAATTGCGGCACGCTGCAACACGTCACAATGTTACAGTTGCAGAAATTTTTTGCAACTTCATTGTTGTGTTGGGTGCTGAGGTGATGCAGAGAACGCTGGAGGTGGTCGAAGAGGGTGGAGAAAAATTGTGAGAGAAGAGGAAGACATCTGGGATGGCTTGATATTTTTCAGTAGGCTCAGGTTTAAAATAATATATATCATATGGTTGAGCTCGGGAATATTTTTCTCAGAAGTGTACAGCATAAAAAATGATTCACATGACTGGGACAGGGGTTTGACATTTGGCGAAATAGTGTCATACTGAAAACACTTCGTTTAGTTTAAATGAACGAGTGTTATTACAAGATTTGTTAGGAATGCTGTTCATGGAATATATGCTGTGTATGGTCAGTGCAATAGTGATTAATTTTTCGAATAATTATTGGATGATGAGAAGATTGAATACCTGCAATGCATCAAATGTAAGTACGAGAAGAGAAAACGATGGCATGGGGATAGAGCTACATGACAATTTTACCGTCAGTTGACTCTTTAGGACGGCGTGTTGTTTGATGAAACACCAAAACCATCGTAAGTTTTTCATAAACAGAAATGTTTGTCTTCCTCATGCAACCACACATTACGCGTATTTTTCAGGAATACCGAACTGCAAAACGAATATGTTTTATTTCAGTCTACCAATGTGCCTTTGTTAAAAAACTCGCAGGTGAGACCTGAGTTCCAAGCGAGTCTTCCGCCTATGGGCTGAGAAAAACATTCATCAAAAAGTGACCATTATAAAAACGGTAATAGATATGACTTCGCTATGGGCAAATATTATCATTGTAAATAATATAAAAATCTAGTCCAAATATCGATGATATTCCATCAACTTGTGAAATATCTTCATTTCAAGTGGCACTCTAAAACAGGTGCATAGCCCTAAGAGCCCAAGTCGTTTACTGATATTGAGGAATTTTTTCATTATCTTCCGTTCTATCGTAATATATGTTGTCAACTTGGGCACAACGCGAATGTTGTTATGAATTACTATAATTTATTGGTTTTTAATTATCTTGTCACCTATTTCATGATTAGACTAACTGTATAAGTATCTGTAACCTGTATGGGTAGCCAATTTTGTTATGAAAGCAGGTTCTGGCATCTGAACATTTCCTTATGGTCTGATAGAGATACAAAGTTTGTTTGAAACAAAATATTCGTACATTGCTTGAAGAGGGTGCAATTGGTATTTTCTTACAATGCAAGATGTATTGCCAACATAAGAGCGACATTTCAACACACGTGTTAGTGAAATAGTCGCAAACGCTTGCTGTGGAAAAAGATCGAAAGAGCTCAAAGCCATTGAATACATTTTTTAATCATGAGATTCTGTAATGGATTAGTTTCGGTTGATGGAAAAATGAGATAGAAACTTGTAAATGGTTTTACATATTGGCATTGTTTTTGAACCGAACTAACGCTGACAAGGGGATAGAAGAATGTAGACGTCGCCGGACAGAACTTTCCGTATTGGTTTATTTGATAATATCTTATTGACAGCCTATAGGCCTCATTTTGGTCTACAAATTTTTTTTCAGGTTTAGGTGGCATCTAAATCTGTAGCACCTCCAGCTGTGCGATTCCTCGGTCGGTACCTGATCTACACGTAGAGAGAATCACACTCCGTGCAATTGTATATGAAGAATCAGAATTCAGCCACACTTCTAAATATAGAATTTGTCAAGTCTACAAATGATCGGACCGAAGGCATAGTGAATATCTCATATATAATTGCGTGCGGCTGAAGCGATTTTATTACGTATATCATAAGGTGATAACTACATTAATCAATAATTCTAAATCAAGACAATCAAGTTGGACTAACTTTTCTCTATAATTTTTTGGCGATAGAATGTCCAAAATAAATTTAACTTGCAGGGAGTGACTCATTAATCCAAATCAATAACCTCATCGACAGAAAGTCGGATCTTTGCTCTAACCTTCTGTGCCGTCACTGCTAAGGATACGAAAACTTAGATTGAGGTGAGGTTATGGCAGTCTCTGAGAGACCATGCAAGTAAATGCTGTTGCCCTGAGATGTAGCTACGAGTTCGATAATGCACGTCAAAAGCCAATACGATTCCTGCTCAATTGGAATTTGATTTTCTTCGAATCGTGAACGCAGTTTTCTACGGTGAACTTCAAAGTACACTGAATGTCTCCACGCGGCGAGTGAGACAAATGCGGACATCTCCCACCAGTCCACGGAGCACAATATAATCAAAGCTACCAGAATCAATTATACTCAACCCTGCCTTTATCGTGTCAGCAGCTGCAGTGCCGACACTGGCCCTTGCTAATGTTCGACTAAATCATTGAGGTGAATTTATGGCATTTGGCGTTTTGATTAAACCAATTTTCATAACTCTCTTTAAACTGGATTTTGGGAGCAAAAGCTGTTCCATACACTGTTGTTTAAAAGATTAAGGTTTTATTGATCATTATGTTCTTCATTTAATTGATTACGACTTTTGTTTCCTCCACTAAACTCTTTGGTAAATGTCAACAATGTGACCCACTATCTTGACCCACTTATTTTTAAGGGTTAGGCCACGTTCTCTATATGATATTTTTTAAATTGAAACCAATGCAGCGAAATTGGCCGTATGATTGTCCGCGCATTCCTCAGAATGGCAAATATTCGTAAATATTATTGCGCTGTAACAGAAATTGCTTGCAATTTTATCTGAACAGGCATAAACTACATCACTATTATTGAGATTCGTACAATTAATATGTATAGTTACTTGACCGAAAGCATTTTTTATAATTTTTAGAAATCACATTATTTCTGAAAACTTTTGAAAACAACTTATTTACTTATGAGGTTGATTTGGATGAACTTATCTTACGAAACAGCAATCTTTATCTTCAGCTTCGTAGCTCTGGCTGGGAACGAGCAAGCTTATTCTCGCCGCATCCTAAAATAATGGAATTAGACTTCATAAATAAAACTATGAAGGGAAAGTAGAAATAATTAATTTAGTATCAAGCCCGACCAATATCCATTAACCAAAGTTAGAATGTTTTGTGATGAGAATATTCATCTCTTGTAAACCTAATGTGGTTCAACAACTAACGTTCATAACCTTCAAATGTACTTCAAGTACAGTGCCTTGTCCCTGCACTGACGACTTAAGCAGCAGCGCAAGCAGCGGCCCCGCCATCAGACAGAGGTGCCTTCAACGAGCCGCAATGATCAGTTCAGGAGGAGGGTGACTCGGAGACGCTCCTGGTGCAGGCAGCGGCCCCGCCATCAGACAGAGGTGCCTTCAACGAGCCTCAATGATCAGTTCAGGAGGAGGGAGACTCGGAGACGCTCCTGGTGCAGGGCAGCGGCTGTCTCTTATACACATCTAGATGTGTATAAGAGACAGGTTTAAAGCGCTGCAGCTNCATCTAGATGTGTATAAGAGACAGAGACTACAGTGCAATTGATAGCCGTTACGGCAGCTAAGAGTCCAATATATTGTGCAGACATCACAGATCTGTCAGTGTGATCTCCCATCAAAGCGATCTATTGTATACAGTGCTGTGCAGAGACTCCAGTGCAATAGATAGCCGTGATATACGGCAGCTAAGGGTCCAATATATTACATAGACATCACAGATCTGTCAGTGTGATCTCCCATCAAAGCGATCGCCTCCCAAATGGGGGTCGTACAAGTCTTCTTCTTGGCCGCCGCCATCTTGCCGGTAAGTTATTAGAGCACCGTAATTCATTTCAATATTATTTCCTATCATCTAAGCATGTGAAGACGTCATTGACTAACTTAAACGAGTTCGTAAATGGCGATGACGTCTTATTTTCTATTCATATTAAGATCAAATCACTTATGCAAGTTGCTGAACATATTTTAACTGCAATAATGTAAACAAATGAATATGTTTCTTGTGTGTGTTCATGAATTTTGATTCCTTATAGTTTCATGAATTTCTGCAGTAAACTTGTGTATTGACGGCGGCTCAATGCGTATAAGAGCCTCTCGCTCTGCTCCTGAGTTGACGTAAATATGCGCCCAACGACTATTTTCAGTTGAGAACAAAACATCTCCTTTGCGGTGGTGTCATTACGATCAAAAATTGCTCATTGAATATCAATCTCTTTAGTGATAATTCGGGAAACATTTTTCATACATATAAACGGGAGAAAAGTGCAGTAAAAAATCGACCGGGCGATTTTTTTACCCTGCACTATTATGATATTCGATTCCTGTGAGGCTTTTATGCTTACCTATTCATGTACACAGCTGGCCGTAAGACGTTTTCTATATAGATATGAATTTTTGTGGACTATTCTTTGATTTGGCCGTAAGATGTAGCAGATTTTTTGCACTCAAACATCTATTTTATCTATCAAATGAATTAAATTGAATTGAGGACTAACGATTTTAGTCAGGTCATTTAAAATAAATCCACGTTGTCCCACTGAAACCCTTCGTAACTCGCTTTGGTTTATTATCATTCGAACTTCAGAACACAATTAGGCTTCATTGGTCTTGTAGTATTATCAAGATGCTCTCCAAAATGGCACGATGCATAAAAAACTGCATATAACCTTCTAACATCCGGCTTTTCCTTTTGAGAAATGCAACATCAACCATATTCTGACTCCGTCATGCAGGCAACATCAACCATATTCTGTCTCTGCCATGCATGTAACATCAAGACAATGTTCTGGCTCCGTCATGCAGGCAACATCTGCCATATTTTGACTCGGTGATGCACGCAACATCAAAACAATATTCTGTCACCGGCATGCACGCAACATCAAAACAATATTCTGTCACCGCCATGCACGCAACATCAAAACAATATTCTGTCACAGCCATGCACGCAACATCAAAACAATATTCTGTCACCGCCATGCACGCAACATCAAAACAATATTCTGTCTGTGCCATGCATGCAACGTCACGACAATATTCTGTCACAGCCATGCTCTTCCGTTGCCAGGATTTGCAGGTTGTCTGGGTTGTTTTGCCATCTCTAATAACACAATTCGTATTGCTCTTTTGTAACTTGAACCTTGTTGTTCCCTCATAATTATATTGAAGTCATGTCAGAACATCCAGTAGAATGCATTAGGCAATTCTAGGAGCCCGTCCGTATCTATAAACTGACTTAAAAGACGACTAATTTCCAGAATAGGGTTTCAAAGAAGGAAATTAAATGAGACTAACGCTATTAGCGGTACTATTGATTATGTCCTCGCTGAACTCCATGCCGCCGTCCTGATTAGAGAAAAAAAATAGCCCTGTAGTCAAAAGTAGTTTCTATAATGTCATATATTTTAAAGTTGGACACTCGGAGTGATTACTCCACAAATTTTACGTTACGTTCAGGTTCAGGTTCAAGAAACCGGTATTCATTACTTATCGTTATGTCAGGTTGTCGCCGAGTTGCACTTGATATATAGGCACGTATGAAAAGGTTCTCTTTTGGAAAGGTTACGGCAACTATAGTACAAAGAGAGGGTTGTAATGAAACACTGATACATTTCATATTAAATTTTGAAATTCAAGTTCACATCCTACGTTAACAAAAATCTCTAGTACATAAAAAATGAAATCTGAACACAATCAAAAGTCCAAAAACCTATCAGTTTACATCATTAAAATCATCTAATTTTATTGGAAAATGTTGATACATTGCAGTCCCGTTGAGCCGTACGACTGTTCCCAGTTAAAATTTTGAGCCGAGACCGGCGCCGGGTTTAGCCGGGCTGGTCGCGCTCTAGCAGGATGGAGCCGTAAAACTACAACCGGCCATCTGTCCCTAAAACTGCGCTGCGCCATGGCTAATATAGAGACAAAGTTCTAGCAGCTCGGCAGGGCCAGAACGCTGCGCTGTTTTAGCGCTGGTACTTGGATTGCCCGGCAGCGAACTGAGCAGAGCAGCTAAGCAGGCCGTGCATGGGGGGTACTAAGAGAGGGAGGAAGGGTTAGGGTTGGAAACAGTGGCAGGAGAATGAACTTCGTCCGTCATCTAGTTCATTCGCATATTTCGATATTTTGGGTCAATTTCTGGTGCCAGTTATGATATTTATTTCCCTTCACTATTTTAATACTTTGAAATTGTACATGCTCTTCCAGTTTTAACACGCAAACAGAAACGTTTACGGTCATTCACGCTTCGCTAAATCGAGATATCAATCAGTATATCATGAGAAAGTTTCCTCACTTGGATTTACAGAAAACGCGTTAATAACAGTGAATATTAGAGCCAAGAAAATACCAGGAAAATTCACCATATTTTCGATGGAAATGTGTAAACCAGCACCACCATCAGTTCATAAAATTGATCGAATTTCCCTGCGTTTCGGTGCAGGTCTCCGAAACGTTTTCATTGAAGATATGGTGAATTTATTTGCCGCTTTCTTTGCATTAAAACTCTTGGAGAACTTGCGATTTCAGCAGACTAATGATTTGAGTACGTTGTTAATTTTCCTACCAAACTATCGAATGACATGAAGCTAATGCAATAAGATGAATTACTAAACAAATTTAGCTCTAATATTCACTTACATCCAACTGACGGGATCATACGAATAGCTACTTTGTTCATTTCTTGAAATTAGTGTATTATGAATAATATCTATCAAGTTCAACCACAAATATACGTAGCTATTCCTCAATTTGCTAGATGATGGCGAATCATTTAAGTAGTTCATAGAGGCTTGGATGGTAAGGTGTCCGCGCGGTCAAGGTGGTACAGGCGTGGACTCTGACGCGGAGGATCTGCGTTCGATTCTCGGAGCTGCCGTCGACGCTTGCAGATAGTACATAGCGGTAAGTGATTTGATGTGTATATTTCCTCGATAATTGAATTTGTTAGATTATATATAACGTTGCTAAATTCCATACGATGTGAAAGTGAAAAAACAATGTCAATAAAACCTGTCATTGCAAGAGAGGATTCTAGATGATCTCCGAGAGAGAGAAGGAAAATTTTTTTAAATCGTGGTTGACAAACGGTAAGGCTTAACTGCCGCGTACACTGCCAGAGCCGCCCCAGAGCGGGCGTTGGGCAGGTTTGAGCAGGCGGTGCTCAGTGAGGGCTGCGTGTCGGCAGAACAGAGCATACCTGGGCAGGCACTCAGAGGTGAATTAGCGCTGCTACGCGGCTGGCGATATCGTCTCTAATGCGAACATTTCTGCTTTATCGCGATTCTGTCGCGTCCCTACGTCGGCTCTGCAGCTGGCGACGGCCAGCTCTATTCCCTGCCCTAAATTTTAACTGGGTTGTAAACAACCGTAACTTGCGCACCCGTTTGCGGCCGGCCGTATGTTCAGTGGCCGTACCGCTTCTGTATTCTCGCGTCCGCTTTCACAGTTGCTCTTCCTTCATGGCTGTATTACCCGCGCACTACAGTGATGTCTCATGGCCGGTCAAACCATAGAGTTTATGACGTCCGTACTTCGGTTGATGACTGTGACCGTCACGCTTCTTCTGATGAGAGTTGTGACCGTACTATTGATGACCGTACCGATGATAATTCTTGGTGTAATGGTGTAGAGCTCGAAACTTAAATCTCCTGATGACGTGCGTTATAATCGTTGTACAACTCGTGGCCCTCTCGCATTGTCTCGCGGCTGAGTCGCAGCCGTAGTGTTGATATTGATTTTCTTGAAGTGCTCACCGGACTCTTGGCTGCTTCGATAAGTCCAGGTTTCTCGCGACCGTCAATGTTCGAAAACGGTAACATCGCCGGCCTCACGGCCGCGGCCGTTAAATACAGTCCGCTGACTGCAGACCGTGCTTGCGTGACGGTCACCTCCGTAGAACCAACAACAATTGGGCCAATTTTGAGGTCCTTATATAGGAAGCCGTCGCGCACAGTTAAGCCTTACCCTCGAAGTGACGCCGCATTCCTCGACTGGAATTTCCCTCGAGCTTAGCTCGCCAACGCTCGATGTAAACTAACTTGTTCCCACGGTCTCGAAACAACCGCGCCTTATACACCTGCTATATCGCTTCTACCCACATTCTTAGAATTCTTAACACCTACCCATAATACATGTTCAATATTACCTACTTTATTCAGTCCTGCCAATCTCTTGTACTGCTGATTGTGTCCTCGCTGAACTCCATGCGACCGTCTTACCAATCTCTTGTACTGCTGATTGTGTCCTCGCTGAACTCCATGCGACCGTCCTACCAATTTCTTGTACTGCTAATTGTGTCCTAGCTGAACTCCATGCAACCGTCCTACCAATCTTTTGTACTGCTAATTGTGTCCTCGCTGAACTCCATGGCGCCGTTCTACCAATCTCTTGTACTGCTGATTGTGTCCTCTCTGAACTCCATGCCGCCGTCCTACCTATCTCTCGTACTGCTGATTGTGTCCTCGCTGAACTCCATGCCTCGCTGAACTCCAGTTACGTCTTACCAATCTCTTGTACTGCTAATTGTGTCCTAGCTGAACTCAATGCGACCGCCCTACCAATCTCTTGTACTGGTGATTGTGTTCTCGCTGAACTCCATGGCGCCGTTCTACCAATTTATCTCTTGTACTGCTGGATATGTCTTCGCTGAACTCCATGGCGCCGTTCTACCAATCTCTTGTCCTGCTGATTACGTCCTCGCTGAACTCCATGCCGCCGTCCTAACAATGTCTTTTACTGCTGATTGCGCTCTCACTAAACTCAGGGCCGCCGCCAGAATCAACACGTATAAGACATCAGACACTTGCAGTATACATGCGCAGGAGATGAGCGATACTCTGGCAGGTCTGCATGTGGCCGGGACAGAGGCCCAGTGTTGCCTCTCCCTTGACAACAGCGCCATAGTTGATCGCTTCAGCCGTGACCTCGTTGAGTGTCTTGTAAATGAACGCCTTCAAGCAACCCTGCCTTGCTCGGCGCGTAATAGCCACGTGTGTGTTTTAGTGATCAGAGATACAAGCTTTATAGAGAATAGGACTCATTGATCTCGATGGTGTTAACTGACTGAAAACTTGTCCGTTGTATTGCAACTATTCTGAAAAGAAAATGTGAAAATTGAGCACATAGGTTGTGAAATGAAATAAATTATAAACAATATTGAACATCATATTCAAAAACATACAAAGATCAATAATTGATAACCTACCAAATTAATGTACAATCAATGGCGAGTTCTGGCTACAGAATGAATTTGCCTGCGCTCAGCATGTAGCCCCGGGGTCTACTAGAGGCTCCAGATCTAATGTGCATGTGAGACGCATATGTCCGCGATCAGAAGCATATGTCTGCGACACCGGACACATGAAAAATCTCACAAGATCGTCTGACGCAAAAATACAGCAGACTAAAAGACAAGATGTGATGAAGCTCTCACAGCTCGCATCATCGAATGACGCGCAATCGATGCTCAGGATCCGCTACTCATGCACCAATGACGGACCCCCGCCGCGCAGTATGCACCACTGACGCACCAATGACGCACCACCTATACGCAGTATAGGCACCACTGATGTACCAATGACGCACCACTCAATGACGCACCACCGCCGCGCAGTATGCACCACTGATGCACCAATGACGCACCACCGCCGCGCAGTATGCAGCACTGATGCACCAATGACGCACCACCGCCGCGCAGTATGCACCACTGATGTATCAATGACGCACCGCCACCGCGCAGTATGCACCACTGATGTATCAATGACGCACCACCACCGCGCAGTATGCACCACTGATGTATCAATGACGCACCACCGCCGCACAGTATGCACCACTGGTGTATCAATGACGCACCATCGCCGCGCAGTATGCACCACTGAAGTGCCAATTTGTTATTATTTATTGTTATTTTTGCAACACTCATAGCAAATTATTAACTTACGCTTTGATTTTGCTTCATTTCTGAACCTATTTTCTATTTCCTCCCATTAATTATTGATATATACAAAAAAGTATATATCAATTGTATTAAATTGTATTAAATGCTCACGAAATGTTTCTTAAATAACAAAAAAATTTAACTTCTGTCTTATTTGCGCAGGTCCTGACGCTGGCCCGCAGCGAGGTGGTCACGAACACCTACGCTGATGGGCGGACTGTGAGTATTGAAATTAATGCCAATTGTGGTCATTAACCTTCAATTAGCACAGTTTGGGAAAAAATTATTTTATCCACTAGTATTCCACATCCTCCTTGAAATTTTTAAAATTTTAAGCCGCATGCGATAGTTAAATGTCGCAACACGTTTCGAAGAGTTTCATTGCGTTTTATTTTGTTGCAATAACATTTAAATGGTAAAATACTTGACACGTATTGACTTAGGCTTGAAACTTGCGGCAATCCAGAGAAATTTGTTCAATATAATATAAATTTTTAACGTCACATCGGTAGGCCTTTGAACGACGTTCGTAAAAAGTGATTATTTTAGAGTGGTGAGATTATGAGCAGTTAGAGTGCCACCTATTCTAACAGACAAGTTCCTGGTCATCAGTCCAACTCGTCCTCAGGGTGTGGTGGTGATGCCTGGGCTAGCGTCTCAGGCCTCCGACCCTCCGATGCAAGGCGTGCAGATGACGATCAGCTCTTCTTCTTCAGCTCGTCCACCGAGATCTGACATTCAACGCCCGTCTTCATCAGCAAACGCTCATCCCCTGAGAATGGTGACAACCTCTTCTTCCAGTGCAAGTAACTCTCAACAGGTGACGATAAATCCCAACAGATACAACCAGCCCATCTATAAAGTTTCTAAGGAAACAGTTAGCGCCTTCAAGCCCACAAAAGTTCCAAGCATTAACTATTCCGTCATGAGCACGGATACGAAAACTCGGTCCTCTTCCGATGGGCTTAAAGGTAGACGCTATCGTCGTTATCCTTTGGAGTCAACCTCCAATAACAATAGTGAGATAAGCAGGACACTTCAACTCTTAGATGAAGGGGAAGAGAAAATCCAGTTACAGGAACGATACAGGAATATTACCTTAATATTAGGAAATACTGGATCCGGCAAGAGCACCTTTGTCCAGTGGATCGCTGGGGACAATGACAAGTTGATAGCGAAAGAAGTATGGGCGAGAACCGGGGAGTACATCATTGATGATGGCGATAGAATTGGCAATTCGACTATAAAATCTATGACAATTTTCCCAGAGTTAATAGTGCACCCTGAAACATATGATGCTTATTATGATTGCCCCGGATTTAGTGATACGAGAAGTTCTAGCATGGACATAGCTATCACCTACTCCATAAAAAGAGTAGCAGATCATGCCAAGTATGTTAAATTGGTCTTTGTTGTTAGTTATCCTTCGGTTAGAAAAGGAGTAGATAGGCAAGATTTCATGAAATTACTCAGACATGTCACTGATCTAATCAAAGATATTGATAAATATCGAAATAGTATAGCCATGATGGTAACAAAAGTTGATAACACATATATTAAAGCTAGCACCAGCCTTAGCTTAGTACCAGATGAGGACGTAATAGGGGCCATTGGCAACTTTTTAGAGGAGGTCAAGCAAGGGCTCCTAGAGCGATTAGGTGTTGTAGGTGATCCCGATGAACGAAAGAAATTTTATGCGCAAGCATTAAAGTTTGTGAGCACTTTATTAATCAAGGATGGTGAACATTATTCGAGAATAGGCATTTTTAGAAGACCAGACGAGCCCGGACCTTTGAGTAATATCACGCTGTTGCAAGAGGGAAAGGAGCATGTAGAGAAAATACTGAATGAGGTCCTTGCGTTTACTGCATCGAATGCTGGAGATTTCGGTTACACGATATCTGATTCATCCAAGGTTGCTATTAATGCACTCGTTGAAAGAATTAACGACAATATATGGTCTAATATTTTTTCTGTCGCTGAGCACTTGGAAGAGTATTACCGCCAGTTAGTAAATGGGATGCGGAGCAAGATACGCTCATTTTCTACGGCTACCGAGGCTGTTGATGCTGATCCAGCGGAGGCTCAAGCGTTTGTAGATCACTTTAATATGGGACTTAACCTTACGACAAACCTTATGCAAAAAATTACAAATACCCCTACTGACCAGTTGACTGAAAAGGTTAGCAGTACTGTATCCTCTTTAGGCATAGAGGGACTTACAGAGGCTATGCAGAGCATAGCGCAGCAAGGACAATATTTCACATTTTTGCAAGTAGTGAGTGATAGCGTATTAGGAACTAGGGCTTGGGATACCTTGTTGCAACCTGTGGCAACCTTTCTCTCTGACTCAAGGCATGCTATCCAGACGGATATCAATAATGAAGTAACTGAAATCGAAATTCAAAGAAATGCTATCATTAATGTGATCGCTATTAAAATCCGGGAAAATTTCCAGAGCAAAGTGCGTTCCACGACGATTCAGCATTTACCAGCCGAACTGAGTAGAGGATATTATTTCATCATGAATGTGACAGCAGAAATGGAACATTTATTAAGTACAGGAGCACTGTCAAGAAAATTAATGGATATTGTTTCGAGTATTGATAGCATTAACATGAGCAGTAATACATACAATATTTTAAATCCGGAGAAGTACTCGAAATTTTTAGGAATTATAAGTAATAAAAGGTTGGACACCCCATCACCATCTCTTCCTACAATTCCCCTCCATGAAGCTGCTACATATCTCAAGGAATTACATAAATGGTACGAATTCTTGAATAATTTGTATAAAAAGTTGTCAACGTACGAAGTACAAAAGTATAAAAGTAAATTCAACGTTGCCAATATTGCGGACTGGGGACAAGAAAGTAAACTTCAAGGAATACAAATAACGCGCCATAACTTCAGACAATTTTTGGGAAAAATAAAAGGCTTAAATGTGACAGGATATGATGAAGTAGCACATACAGCGGCTGATGAATTACGCGTGGAGGAATTGAGGCAAGTGGCGAGTCTGACGTTGAACAAATTCAATGTGTTTTGTCAATCAGATAAACTCACAATTAAAGGGGATTATATTAAACTTAGTGATGCTAACCTAGAAATTGGGATTTGCAAACGCAGCACAACAGAAATATTTGCCCTGAACAAAATATTCATTGACGAAAACCTTAATAAAGTAGGGGAAAAGTTCAAGCTCGTAATGATAGCCCCGACATGGGAGGTAATAGGTCGTAGAACAATAAACTTGAGTGGGGCTGACGCTCCGCCACATAATCCACGTAAGGCAAGTGACGGCGAGGGGGACGGGGGGCGGGGAGCTGACGGTAGGCCTGGCTTGCCTGGAGGACCAGCTGGGAGTTTCTTTGGCGTAGGCACAACATTCTTGAATGGAAATATGTTGAATATTGTGGCTAATGGTGGGAATGGTGGTGATGGTCAGGATGGTGGGAATGGTGGAAATGGGAGTAGCGGGAAATCTCCTGACAGCAATCGCGGATACTATGAAATGCATGATAGTAGCTATAAGTGCAAAAATGGCAATATTCTCGGTCATTCCTGTCGATTGTACTTTCCCATAATATATTCTTACGATGAACACTCATTCCGTATTAGAGGTGAAGCCGGGGTAGGAGGAGGAGTTGGTGGGGATGGAGGGCAAGGAGGTCTTGGGGGTAGATCAGGTGATATAAAGATAATTGCGTTGGGTGACGATCACAGGATATCAATTATGAACAATAATGGAAGAGATGGAATATTTGGGATAAGTGGTAGGGGAGGAGCTGGAGGTAGGCATGGAGGTTCTCTTACAGTAGAATGTTCTTACTCTTCATTTCTTATAATTTTTGAAGAAACTTCTTGCTCCACCTCTGATAGAAGCGAGTCCGGTTACGCTTCATCTGGAAGAAATGGAAATAACGGAAGTAATACAGAAAATATGCAATACCCAGAGCCAGCAACCATCATCAGCAATAATGCTGAAATTATAAATGATTATAAAAGTTATGCAAGAGAAAACCTCCATGTTGGCGTTGGAGGTCGCTTTAGGAAAAAAGATCTCCTCATATTTTTCAGTGAATTGAATAATGACAATGATATTAAACGTATGTATGATACGTCAGGTTTATTACAGGAGCTGCGAGGCTTAGAAAGTCAGTATCATCTGTTACAAAATAATGATTCGGTATTTCTTTATGAATCATTATTAGATAGGATCAATGCATTTGCAAATGACTTTGAAGCCAAAGAAAGATCGAAAGAACAAAATAAGACGCTCGCCTATATGTATACAGCTGTTTTGGGCAAGCTTTATGATTTGAAATGCGATTCAGACGCAACTTTGATCATAGATATAAAGGGATATATCGATATAGTAAAGACTAATGTTAACAAGTTGACAGAATTACGAGAAAAACATCACAAGGTGACCATAATAAACGATTTTAGGGATCAATATAAAGCCAGTCTTAACAAAAAAATTGAAGAATCTAAGCGTTTCATCGAAGAGGAGATAACACCTGCTTTAGATCAAATGCACGAGCAAATAGATGATAAAATGGACGTGCTACTGGATGAAATTAAAGAAATTCAAAAAGAGGCTGATACTAAAAGGGCTGAGTTACTCGAGAAGATGAAAGAATTAGAACATACAGTGGTCCATTTTGACTTGTTTAGTTATTTGAAAAGTGTATGGCAAGTAGTAAATATGTTTGGACCTGTTGGAGAGGTATTGGAGGGATTAATAGGAGCCCTGTCTTCGGTATCGGACGCTTTTGTTTCAGGCGATCAGACCGCTGGACAACAACTACCACCGTGGCCTTTAGGTGTTACGGCTGACCTACAAATTATGGAAAATCAAGTCAGAAGTACCAAGGACAAACAAATGACGAAGAACAATCAAATAATAGATTATATAGATAATGAAATTCCTTCAAATGTATTGCTAAATGATATACGAGGAAGTCTACATAAAATGAAAAGGGGTCAATTTCCAATTCGTGATGTTGATGGAGCACCAAATCTTAAACAGTTTTCAGGGGAGCTTATGGTCAAAATAAAGAAATTACTAGCAACAAAAGAAAACGAATTGAGGACTAACGCAACTATTGATGACGAAAGTGCAGCACAGGCATTAGGTGCCATAGCTAAAGTTCATCAATTGATCCAGATTAGTGAAGTAAGCGCTGCCGCGTATGTCAAACACAGAGATGACCAGGCGAAACTTGATGCGCTGAGCAACGCTATTCAACAGGCAGAAGTGGAGCTCCAGAGGCTTAAGCAACACGAAAATAGAATTGATAGTGCTTTAGCACCCACCTTGGATAGCATTGAAAAATATCTCAAAGAGATCGAAATTGAACTAGACACTGAGTCTCAAGTTGCGCTTGACGTAAGCAAATGGCAGGTTCAAAGCGTGCTCAGAGACATGAAATTATCCTTACGTCAGTTAACTAAAGAATTCAAAGTGGGAGATGATTTAATTCGTTGTATTGAAAAATTGGAGGAATCCATGACCACCTTAATCGGTGTATACGATCGCATCCAAGACTACCAACAACAACAAAACTTAGCCAACTATATTGCAGCCGTCGCCGCGTACCATGGTCCTGATGATGTTCACCAAGTTGAATTAGAAATACTCATCAGATCTAACCTTATACTAAAGCAATACAAAACTGCTGTTAATGCATTCAAGCAGTGGGTGTTTCCGTTTGCCGGTCATTATCTTGAAAGAATTATGTCTCCATCCCATTTTGTGTTTAATAACGGCAATATTGAGGAATCCGCTACAAAGGCTGTCGGACAAATAGAATATATAAAAGCACGACTAGATGAATATATGACAGCTATTCAGCGTCATGATCAACATATACACAAAGGATTATTTGATAGCCATCACGATTCTTCCCATCCGTTTTTCGTATGGAGAAATGAGGACCATAAAGAGGAGATAAGCAAGCTACTGTCAGGCGAGGCAATAGTCGTTAAAGCTGACATAAGAGGCAGTGCACCGGACAAAGATGCCATTAAGTTTAATTTATTAGAAATAAACCTCAAAGTAACTAATGCGACCAGGCAGCTGGAGCTAAACGATAAACTTAGAAGCTTCAAGGTGAGCGCCACCCACTTTGGTAATTCGTATTACAGGTATGATGAAAAATTATACGTTATAGGCAGTCTTAGCCAGAACATCGAATATTCATTTGAAAAAGACTTTAATGGAGTACCAATACATAGAAATCAGGTGTATAATAAAATCCAGGAAGGTGATTTCATGCTTAGTCCATATGCCATGTGGAGAATTCAGTTAATACAACTCAAACACGCGATTCCTTTCAATCAATTGGTTATATATAAAGATGAAGCTGACTTGGAGTTAGTAGGTAGCGGTTGGTATGTTACCAATAGCGCTGGCATGCCTAACCTGAATGTAGAAAAGTACTATAGAGCAGATGATGCTATGTTGTTCATTGACTATGATATGCATGATGAATACGAACTCCTAGAACTATAGACGATACTGTCACTTAAAGTTTCACATTATGAAATCAAAAGATTATTAGAAGCATGACATCAGTGTAAGGATAAAGAGAAACATGACGCAATGTCAGAAGGCGAAACTGATCTTGTGCTCGTGATTCAAAGCCAGTAGACATGTGGTGGACCATACATGGTTGCAAGCCTGACAGAGCAGATATCCGAAAAGACTTGGCAGCAATATTTGTAATACATTCAGAAGGATAAGTGGACCTTGTCCAAATAACAATGCACTTCTAACAATTGAGTGCATGGATCATCCAAATCAAGTTTATCTCGTTAAGAAGACGTATCAATGCTGTGCCCGCTAAATGCTCGTGCTGTGTGTAAGAAAGTATGTCACTATTTGGAAAATATGACCCATTATTTTTTCTGATTTCAGGCAAAGATTCAAGCTTATAGTTAACTTAGCAAGCTTGACGAATTTGAGCTCAGGTGTGTATCTTTCACAAAGTTGTGGTGCCTTAAGGATTGACGATTCCTGATAGTTTGCTTTATGATTCAACCCGACTCCGTCGTGTCAGTATAAATAGAAATCTGGCGAGCCAGGCTAGGGCAGCAACTTGAAGTGACCCGAGTACCGCGCGAGCCAGGCTAGGGCAGCTACTTGCAGTGACCCGAGTACCGAGTACTGTTGTTTCGACCGTACTTCTGAATAGTGGCGTTCGTCTTCATAGTCGATGATGTTACTTCGAGCTCATTGCCGTACTTCTGCAGCTGGTGACAGTTGACCATACCGCTACTGACGATGAGTGTGACCATGCCGTGCTGATGGCCGTACCGATGATATAATTCTTGCGCAGGGCTCTAATCTTGAATCTTCTGATTGCCGGCGTTATAATCGTTGGACATCTCGTGGCCTTTCCCGTTGTCTCACGGTTAAGTCGCAACCGTAGCAATGAATATTGACCGTACAAATTAGCGAAGTTACGGCCGCTACTCGTAGATTTTTGACGTTATTATATCGGGGACGCAGTGGTTTGAACGTCTCGGAGTTATGCGCAATCGTTTTTTTATCTTTGTCCGAGATAGCTGTTTGTTGTCTGCGGAGATAGCTGCAGACGGTACTGGCGTGACGGTAAAATACCACGCGAATCAATTGAACAGATTGTATTTCGTGGTGTTTTGAATAACTGATTATTGTTGCATTGGTCGCACTGATTAATATATTTCAAGCGCTTAGCTTAATGATAATTGTAAAAGATAGACTCCGGCACTCAAGTGTAAAGATAGATGATATTCTAGCTTCATTTTAATTTTTTTTATTATTGAATATGTATTCATTTGAAAGTTTGAGCTGTAACTTAAGCTGTTGTTAAGATATTTTTTCAATGTACTAAGCCGGATCGAGAGCACTAGGTGCATACAATATCGCGATGTCTTCTTCATTTCATCGTAATGTACAGATTAACTGCACTAGAGGGTGTGATTTTAAGAGGAACATTGTTCAAACTTTCGTTTTGAGACGATACATTTGAATATTATGAACGTGTTAATAATAGTGGTGTAATGTTCAATATATGATAATTTATTAAGGTGCAGACCAATGAAGATTTCCACCTTTATTTTGGATTTGATGAAGACTACGAAGACGGAAAACATCTGTCGTGGTTTGGTCGTAAGGAACATTTATTTCTATTTCAATGTAGTTGATGAAATGAAGTAGATATAATCTAAAATATATGGATTTGTGAAATTTTTTGAGTGTGTTTCAACTTGATGCCTAGCTCCACAGAATATATAGGCTGATCGTGTCGGGATATTGCCGCGCAGAAGCTTGTTGGAGAATAGTAAGCATTGCGAATCTTTGATGAAATGATATGATCAACAACTGAAATTTGATTTTTGAACTGGTATATCTTAATTTAATTTGAAAAGCAGGGTATTTACAATTTTGAAATGAGAGTCGAGTGTGATTTCTATGTTCTAAGCAGGGAAAACAAACAACGTTGCAACGCTCTGGATATGTCAGCCAATAGGCATAGAATAGATACGTGAACAAAAAAAATTTTAAAAGGCTTGAAATTGTTTAAATGTAACTTTGTAAATATAACTTAGAATGTAAAATATCGATACCATTCATATTCAATTGCTCATGCTCATAGAATTGGTCTACCGGAGGCTCACAATAATATTGTGCATTCACGACTTGGCTGATGATTCTCAAGATAAATGGGTGTTTTAATTTAAAGGGTTCTCCCGAATTGTTTCAATTGCTAATTGTTCTATTAGACTATTTAGACTTTTGATAACCACAATATCGAAATTTGATTGTTCCCAAATAAAAATTAAGAGTGGAGCACCTATGTTTTTATGATGGCTATAGGCGGACGCCATAGGTGGAGCAGCTTTGATTTATACAGTGAATTAAGGGTGGCGTGCACCACCTTTACCATACCTATAACCTGCCTATGGCCCCCCTAAACGTAAAGCTCTCCTTCCGCCAATAACTACCCATTGGCACCAGTGGCACATTGATGAGCCAGGCGTGGCCACTTTTAAAACGAAGTCGATAAAAACTTAAATTTAGTTTCTGATCCAATGCGTATGTATTTACTGACATAGTTCCACACAATCACCATCCTAAGGGCTGCGTATGTAATCTACCATTATAGTACAAGTAACAATGTCAGACATGTAGAAGGAACAAATTTTCAGAGTACCATACACATACCTCGTGAGAAATCGAGTTGAAGAAACTCCCTGCCTGCAGGATTCGAACTCCGGTCTCCCACACGCGAAGCAGAGCCTCTACCGTTGAGCTATAGGAGAGGACTAGGCTTTTATTGTCGATTTTCGGCAGATCTGGCCACCCACCGTTACGCCACCTATAATCTACTATCGCCACCTATAATCATCGGTGCTCCACCCTTAATTTTTATTTGGGTTGTTTCTTCCTGTTTACAATGTTAACAGGTTAGTGTTATAAGAAGAAAAATTATTTATTAAACTTGTTCATTATAGATTATCTTGCATGCAGTGTTTGCAATTATACGCTGGTTTTCCTAACCGACATATGTTTTATATAAACATGTTTTTCAATGTGATAATTATGACTTGTGATTATGATGCTCTGTGATTTTTTTATTGATAAAAATATGAAATCGTATGCTTCATATGATCTATTAAATTTACAATATTTACACTAAATCATCAGACGCTTATCATCATTGATGGCTTAAGGAATACGATTGATAAGAGACCCTGAAGCAAATAATTTGCTGATTCAATATGGGCGGATGAGTCTTAACATCGGTTTAAACTTTGAATTCATAGTAGTTCTAGC